GGGAGCCTGAGGGAGAGGAGGCGGGAAGCGGCGGCACCCCAGTTCCAGGGTCTTCTCGTCCCCCTGGAGCCCCCGCCCTGGGGCACAGTTCACTCCCGGGCTCACCGTGAGTGAGGCGCTGAGCAGGCCTGAGTCTTACCGACGGCCAGGTCTCTCGGGCCCTCTGCGTCCTGTGTTTTGCTGCAGAGAGTACACCCTTAGTAACTCCTCAAGCCATGGATCGAGAGGGTGAATGAATGAATGAGCAAGGGAATGAGTGAGCGATGAAGGAACAGACAAATCGGCAGATGGTGGATCCGTGCTGCCGTGCTGACCCCCAGGACGAAATGTCACAGGTGTGCAAGCATCTCCCATGAAACAGTCTCCACTGCCTCCTGACCCCAAGCCACTCCCTTCAGGACACCCCTGCTCCGTCTGGAAGCGAATCGCCCCTCACTTACGCAACAGCAGCGCAGTAACCCTTTTTTACCAAGACCAAAGGGCCTCAATCACACTAGACCCTTCCTGGCAGCTCATCTGATTTCAATAAAACTTTACTGAGAACCCTCTATTCGCGGCCTGGGCTGGTGACACAGAGGTGCACTTGGCTCCTGACGTCAAGGAGATGGCAGGGAGGGAGAGCCCCGAGTCCACAGAGGAGAATGTCCTGAGGCCCCACATTATTTCTGCCCACAGAGGTCTCAGAGCTTCACAAGAACGGTGAGGCCCTGAGAGAAGGTCCTTCTCTGTTTCCACACGCTCTCCACGACCCCAGATGTGAGAAGACGGTGAGCTCCCGTCAATAGGAACCCTGAGTCTCACAACCCCCTGAAAACCTTCCATGACCCCCAGGTAACCTCCGAAGGGCTGGACGGAGGGTCTGAGAAGAGGATTTCTCAGCCCAGGGAGCTGTATACAAGAACACCGAGAGTGGGAATGAGCACACCCCCTGGGAGGCGGGCTCAGCAGTACCCCACGGGGAGCAGGATGGACCCTAACTTACCCCAGCCAAAATCCACAGGGGGAACACTCACTTGAAACATGTCTGCAGCCACCAGCCCTGTGCTGAGATCCGTGGGTGGCAGGGACCACCCCTGAGGACCACACAGCATGGGGGCTCACTCACCACGCAGCCGGGTCGTACTCAGCCCAGACCCGGATGAACTCGTCCAGGTGGTGAGGCCCTAGGATGGAAGAGTCCCGCGTAAGGTACTCAAAATTGTCCATGATCACCGCCACAAAGAGGTTCAACATCTGCAGGACAGGAAGGAAAAGAGGTGACATCCAGAGACCTCAGCCTGCCCCCTCCCCCACCTCTCCACCTGCAGCCAAAGTCTCCGTGTGAGGCGGACAGGGCAGCAGACGTCACTGACTCAGGCAGAGCCTGCCCAACCTGCTCCCTCCACAGCCTTGCAGAGGGCTTCCCAGGCCCCCTTTACACTGCCACCACCACCAGCAGCATCCTTCCCCGGGTTCTAGGTCCCACAGGCTAACCCCAACCCAGTATTTGTCCTCTGAAGGCTTCTGTTCTCCACTTCTCCCACCCCGTCCTCATTCAGGCCCAGCTTCTCCTGTCCATGATCTGTCCTGCCGTCTAGGTTAATCTTCTCCACTGTGTGGTGCCCACCCTCTCCCCTTCTCAGGTAAACCTTCAAGGAAAGTAGCAACTTTGGACTTAATAGTTTGGGCTCTAGAGAACTACAGCTCAGGTATTTTGTTTTGTTTTGTTTTTTTAACTGAGTTGAAATTCACTTAACATACAGTTAAGTCTACAATTCAGTGGCATTTAGTGTACGCACAGTACTGTGCAACCACCACTTCCCTAGTTTCAAAATTTTTTCATCACTCCTAAAGAATACCTTGCACCCCTAAGTAATCACTCCCTATTCCTCCGTCCTCCCATTCCCTAGAAACCACCAATCTCCTTTCTGTACCTGTAGATTTGTCTATTTTGGATATTTTGAATAAAAAATTCCATACAGGGCTTCCCTGGTGGCACAGTGGTTGAGAGTCCGCCTGCCAATGCAGGGGACGCAGGTTCGTGCCCCGGTCCGGGAGGATCCCACATGCCGCGGAGCGGTTGGGCCCATGAGCCACGGCTGCTGGGCCTGCGCATCCGGAGCCTGTGCTCCGCGGTGGGAGAGGCCACAGTGGTGAGAGGCCCGCATACCGCAAAAAAAAAAAAACTCCATACAATGTATGACCTTTTGTGTCTGGCTTCTTTCACTTAGTGTGATGTTTTCAAAGTTCATCCATGTTGCAGCATTTGGCAGAAGTTCCTTCCTGTTTATGGCTGAATAATATTCCTTTGTAGGTATGTACTACAATTTGTTTATCCATTCATCCACTGATGGACATTTGGGTTGTTTCCACCTTTGGCTGTTAATGGTTAATGCTGCTATAAATATTCATGGACAAATTTCTGTGTAGACATAAAATTTCATTTCTCTCGTGTACATACCTAGGAATGGGATTTCTGGGTCATATGGTAATATTATGATTAAGTTTTTGAGGAACTTCCAAACTGTTTTCCACAGAAGCTACTGTTTTTTACATTTCCATCAGCAATGCACAAAAGTCCCTATTTCTCCATGTCCTCACCAACACCTGGTATCTTCTGTTTAAAAAAAAAAAAAATTATTCTAGCCATCCTCGTGAGTGCAAAATGGTATCTCATTGTGGTTTTTATTTGCATTTCCTTAATGACCAAGGATGTTGAATGTCTTTATGTGCTTGTTGGCTGGCCAGTTGAATATCTTCTTTGGAAAAATGACTATTCTGATTCTTTGTCCCTTTTTATATGGTTGTTTCTCTTTTTGTTGTTGAGTTGTAGGAGTTCTTTATATATTTTGCACATTAACCCCTTATAAAATATTTTCTCCCATTCCTTCTATTGTATTTTCATATTTTTATAATATCCTTTAATGCACAAAAGTATTGCATTTTGATAGTTCAATTTATCTATTTTTTTTCTTTTCTTGCTTGTGATGATGATGTCAAATCTAAGAATTCTTTGCCAAATCTGAGGTCATGAAGATTGGTTCCCTATGTTTTCTTCTAAAAGTTTTACAGTTTTAGTTCTCACACTTAGGTCTCTGATCAATTTTGAGTTAATATTTTTACATGGAGTGAGGTAAGGGTCCAACTTCATTTTTTTGCATGTGGATAACCAGTTAGCTCCTCCCCATTTGTTAGAGAAACTTTCCATATTGAATGGTCTTGGCGTCCTTGTCAAAAATCAATTGGCCATAGATGTCTGGGTTTACTTCCAGGCTCTCAATCCTATTCCATTGCTCTCTATATTTATCCTTATGCCAGCACCACATTGTCCCCCACCCCCAGGCTTTATTAAGGTGGAATTAACAAAATTGTAAGATTCTTAAGGTGTACATTGTGGTGATTTGATACACATACGTTGTGAAAGGGTTCCCGCCATCTATTAACTAACACATCTATCACCTCACATGTTTATCCTTTAGTGATAGAACATTTAAGTTCTACTCTCTTAGCAAATTTCACTTATATAATACAGTCTTAAAAACTATACTCACCATGTTTTACATCAGATACTCAGACTTTGTTTATATAGCTGAAAGTTTGTACCCTTTTATCAACCTCTCCTTATTTCCCCAATCCCCAGGCCCTGGCAACAACTTTTCTACTCTGTTTCTATGATTCTGACTTCTTTAAAAAAAGATTCCACACATAAGTGATACTATGCACTATTTGTCTTTCTCTATCTGGCTTATTTCATTTAGCATAATGCCCTCAAGGTCCATCCATGTCGTCACAAATTGCAGGATCTCCTTCTCATGGCTGAATACTATTCAATTGTGTGTGTGCGTGTGCGTGTGTGTCACATCCTCTATATTCATTCATCTGTTGATGGACACTTAGGCTGTTTCCTATCTTTGCTACTGTGAATAATGGCTGCAATGAATATGGGAGTGTGGATATTGCTTCAATATCCTGTCTTCATTTCTTTTGGATATATACTCAGAAGTGGAGTTGCTGGATGAATGGAACCAACAGAATAATGTCATGCCTCGGCTCACCCTTGACATGTCCAGGGAGTGTTGGTCCTGTGGATGGTGTGGCATCATGAATGTGGCTTTCTACGGAACCGTATGTCTGCAGCCAGAGCACAGTGAAGCCAACCTGGTGGGCTCAACCTTGCGCCCATGGATTGGCTGGCTCTTGCAGCACCAGATGTCTTTGAACTTCATAGAGACCACTGTCCCCCCCACCTACAAGACGGGTGACTCTCCGGAAAGCTTTCCTTCCCCACTGCCCACAGTGGGTCTTCTGATGTATCAGGGAATGACCCCAACATGCAAATCCTCTCCTTGGTTCCTGGCAACTAGTGAAAGACTAGTTTCATAGATTTTTCTGTATTTTTCTATCAATATGCAAGCTCATCGGTCTCAAATGCACACCTTTCCCAACTACCCCAACCTTCTACTGTACCTTCCAAAACTCTCAGTTCACCATCAATAGAAATTCTTTTATCTTCATCTTACCCGAACGTTCTTCATTTCCCATTGCTCTAGGTGAAACAGTGGTGTCCCCCTCCATCCTCTTAAGAAAAAAGCCTGCCGTTTAAGGTTTCTGGTCTACCAACCTCCCCCTGCTTCCTGGGAAATGTGCACCTGACTTGCTGTATTTGTCCCCACATCTACTCTTAATTCTTGTTGCTGTTAATATCCACAGAGACGGGTCAACTATTGCCTGGCCTCTCTGATCCCTGACCTCCCCCCAGCCTCCCGCCATCATCTCAGCCCCTTACTCGTATGACTGCAAAACAACTCATTACCAGTGACTAACAATGAACATTACCATTACCACCTCCAAAGTCTTAACCACAGATGTCTCACTCTCTGCCCACAGTTCCTATCCTTCTGGCTCACTTCATCTAATACTTGTGTCCCATGGGGACCTCTGATCCAGTGGTCCTGCCCCTCCCCTCCCTCCTGTCCCCAGGCCTGATCCCACATCCAGCACTAAGATGATACTTTTACACACATCGTTTTCTCCCTCCTTACACTTGTCTGGTAAATCCCAAATCTGAATAATGCACTTTGCTACCCATGGTGCCAAGTAGAGAATATGGCCCGAGAAAAGCACAAACTGTGCTGGCTGGTCCTGCATGAAAGTTATGACTGTAAATCTGAAGTGTCTGTTCAGCACTGCCCACTGTGGAAAGCAGCTGTCCACTCTTGCTATGCTCTTTGCTTCTTATTATCTCTTGAACCTGCTGCAGTAAGGCTTTGATCCTAACACTCCAAAGAAACTGTTCCTGTGAAGGGCACCCATGGTCTCTACCTTTCCACACCCCATGAGCAATTCTCAGTCATCATTTTACTTTACCTCCCAACAATATTTCACATGGTTGATGATTCCCTCCCACTAGGGACACCTTCTTCCCTTGGTTTTTAGGGGACTGCCCTCTCCTGGCTCTCTCCTGCCTCACTGCTCCGAATCAACTTCTGGATCCCATGCTCCCTTCTGTCTCCTAAATGCCCCCAGGGCTGAGTCTTCAGCCCTCTTCTCCATAGGTCAGTGCTCCTCAAACTTAGCACACAAGGAATCACCCAGGAAGTGCACTAAAACTGATTCCTGGGTCCCTCTCCCAGAGATCCTGATACAGCAAGTCTTGGAAGGGACCCAGGAATCTGCATTTCTAACCAGTGCTCAGGCAATGTTTAAGCCGTGGGTCTCTGGACCACACAGGGACCTAGAGGGTATCACCAAGCCTGATGGATACACCAAATACTAACGACGACGAATCCACATCTCCAGCCCAGAGGCCCCCACGTGTCTCTAACCACCCCCTCCTTATCCCCACGCCCATGGCTCCCCAACCTTTCCATCTCGGGGCAAGAACCACTCACTCCATCACCCCAGCAAACCCCAGAAGGCAGCGTTTTTCCCTCCTTTACTCTCATGCTCGTGTTCAATCAATTGTGTCAGCTCTACCTTTACAATGCAGCCCAAGTCCACACAACTTCTTTCACACCCACCCTCTCCAACTGTCACCTCTAATTATCTCCTGCTCACTTACAGCCTCTCCTGACCAGAAGCCAGAAGCCAGAGTGAGGTTTAAAGATGTCAAGCAGAGGATGCCACTGCTCACAGTGTCCCAGAGCCTTCTGCTGACTTGTAATAAAATCCACACCCTGCGACCTGGCCCGCTGACACCTCCAACCTGACCCCATGAGTTTCCATAGCTCATGGGTCACAGGCAGGCTGCCTGGAATTCTGCTGCTTCGTATCTTATCACCACGGTGCAAGTCCTTCTAGAAGCTGAGAACTGAGGGACAATTGCCCTACGGAAACTTAAAACCCCTTCCACAGAAGTAAAGGCAGGCCCACAGGAGCTCATTACCCAGTGGGTCCTTTCAGGATTAACGAGGTCCTCATCTCTGGGGGAACGAGGACCATCGATGTGGAATCAGCTTTCATGTGACATGGATCAAAATCAGGGACCAGCAAGAGACTAGGGGGGCCCAAGGCGGTCTGAGACCAGCAGACACAGGCGACGGGATGGGCACAGCGTCCGGGACTCACCAGAAAGGAGCAGAGGAAGATGAAGGAGACAAAGTAGAAGTAGGCGAAGTCGCTCCCACACTCAGCGGCATTGGCGAGCGCGTCGCAGGCCCGGCTGCCGAGGCAGGACAGCATGATCTCGTGCCAGGCCTCCCCAGTGGCGCTCCTGAGAAAAGGGCAGAGCATGAGGCCCAGGAAGGAAGGTCCAGGACCGGCCCTGGGAGGGAGCCTGGGAATTCAGGAGAGCTGGGTTCCTCTCCACAGGGATCCTGCACATGTGTGAGGTCTGGTTATCAGACGTTGCTTCTTAAAAAGAAGCCTCTGGCATTAGCTTTTCAAGCTGATCATAACTGGGAAAGCACTAGCTACGGGAAAGAATCCACCGCACCAGAAGTCAGCACCATGGCGAGCTCCCCTCTGTGGGCTCCGATCTCCTCCCCGGCAGCCGCCGCCCAAAGTCTTCCTGGATTCAGGACACAGGGACTCCACCCTTCCCTCTGCTCAGGCCAAACACGCGGGCGTCACCCTCGCCTCCTCTCTCACCGTGTCCTGATCATCAGCTCATCGGACTTCAAACCAGCCAGACACGTGCTACCCCCCCCACCAGGCTGCTGCAGCAGCTTCTTAACTGGATGCTCACTCCCCACCAGCAGCCCAGGGATAAGATCAATGACCCCTCAGTGACCCCCTCACTCCCCGCAAAAGGTAAAATCCACATGACTACCCACAGCCTGCCCTTTCCCTGACCTCACCCCACAGCAGCCACCCCAGCTTCTACTGCTTCTCGGACACATCAAGGATACCCCCACCCCGAGCAGCTACCACAGAGGCCCCTCCTGCGTGGACTTTGCTTCTGTGTGTGAGGCCCGCACCAGGGGCCAGATGTGCACCAGACCTGCAGGTGGGCCAGAGGCCTGGGTCCCCCTGTGCCCCTATGTGGTCAGCCCTGGGCCCACTCCCTATGGACAACAGCTGGTTCAGCCCGTGCCAGGCCTGAATGACGAGGGTGCCCACATGTGACACCAAGATGAGGAAGGAAGAGAGATCTTTGAGATCAAAGGCTTAAAACCAAGGCTCACTTCATATCTTTTGTGGCACAAGGCAGGCTATTAATAAACAAAGAAATAAAGTTAATGTAATAGCTAAAGTCCAGAGAAACGACACTATTTGGGGAAAGTGTAAAAAGCCTAAGGATGCTTGTTCATCTGCTGCAAAGAACAAGTCGAAAACTCTGTCCAGGCAGCGCAGTGAAGCAGGCCTGATCTGAGCTCACCCTCCATATAAAGGAGAACTCCCACGGTGCCCAAAACGCATCTGCATAGGGCCAGATGTGCTGGGGGTCCCCAAGGGTGGGCCTGGCAGCAGCCCGCCCGATGCATTTACATAAGTGAACACAGATGGTGAAACCTCAGGAAAGGGCCCAACGCAGGGTGTGCTGTCAGGACCCCTCTACCATAAGTCACTACAAAGAGCTCTTTTCTCCCCTCCTAGGGTCACGGGGAAGGAGGGAGACACGTTCCACTCTCTGGCCTCCGCCCACAAGTGCATTCTCAAGCCAGGCGGGTGGACAGTCCCAGCCCACGGGTGTCCACGCCTGACAGCCATGGCGGGGGAGCCGTCCCACACACATCCGCGCAGGGAGGCCTCTGAGCGGACACCAGCCTGTGCTCCTCCAGGCCCCGCCCTGGTGCTCCCCTTGGCCGCACCCCCGAGCCTCAGGAACTGCAGCTCCCATCAGAACGGCACTGCTGGCCGGCTGGGTTCCCTGGGCCACCGAGCGGGTGCCAGCTGCTGACAGCAGCGCTCCACTGCCCTGCTTCTCCTGGTAGCACAGATCCCCGAATCACTAAGGTGAGCACGCGGGAAGCCTGGCCTGGCACACCAAGAAAAGCCCTTTGGACACCTTCTGTCCTCCCAGACCTCTCGGGCTGCAGCCCCACTGGAGGCCTTGCAGCTGCTGCCAGGGAGCAGAGACAAGGTGGAGGAGGCGGGCCCGGCCTGGCGCTCTCAGGCGGACCTCCTCAGGGCCTCCCCTTCGGGCTGTCTTGAAGCCCAGGAGCCCTTAGGGAAGAACAAGCAGGGAAAGAAGAGAAACTGGAAAGGTCCGCTGCGGAGAAGCCAGTGTGACCAGGGCTGGGGGGTGGTCCCATCCTGAGTGAAGAAGCCAGTGAGCCTGGACCCACCTCCCCACAACGCACCTGAACAGCAGCATCAAGGCTTGTAGAAACGTCCGAAAGTTGTTGTGCCGGTTGATGCTGGTGTCGTCATCCAGGGCGATGTTTCCAAACACCTGAAGTGGAGAAGAAGGCTGCAGACCACTGCTGCTGGGTCTTCAGGAGCTGCAGCCGGGCAGGAGACGGTGTGTGTGCACGTGTGCACCCACATGGGACAGGACGCTGCCCTGAGCCAGATAACCCCGACAGAAGCCGCCACCACTGCTGCCGGGGCTGGTGGCTTCCAGCTCCAGCAGCGTCTGTGCATTTCCAGGGTAGAGAAAACCTCTGGAGAGGCAAACGTATCCCTGTCCCACGGCCCAGCGTGCGCTGGCTCTGGCTCTGAGCCTGTCCAGGGATCTCCCAGAGTGACTAGTAAAAGCAGGGGACCCAGAGCTAAGTCTTGGTGGGCTCTGCCAGACAGAAGAAGGGAAGCGTTTTAAAATTCACTCTCTCATCAATGACTCCAAACCAGTAATTATACTGATATTACGATAGTCACTTGAACCTTTCTCTTTACAATTCTGTGCAAACATCACAATGGGTTTTCTATCCATTTTAATTTCTTTCTTTCAAGGTTAGAAATGCAAATGAGTCCCTAACTCTAAGCAGCTTAAACTCGAATCCAGATGAAAATGTACGAATCATCATCTATCCATCAAAAATACAGACCAGGCTTTGGGACGAGGGGAAGATGGCAGAAGAGTAAGACGTGGAGATCACCTTCCTCCCCACAGATACACCAGAAATACATCTACACGTGGACCAACTCCTACAGAACACCTACTGAACGCTGGCAGAAGACCTCAGCCCTCCCAAAAGGCAAGAAACCCCCCACGTACCTGGGTAGGGCAAAAGAAAAAAGAATAAACCGAGACAAAAGAATAGGGACGGGACCTGCACCAGTGGGAGGGAGCTGTGAACGAGGAAAGGTTTCCACACACTAGAAGCCCCATCGCGGGTGGAGACTGTGGGTGGCGGAGGGGGAAGCTTCGGCGCCGCGGAGGAGAGCGCAGCAACAGGGGTGCGGAGAGCAAAGCGGAGAGATTCCCGTACAGAGGATCGGTGCCGACCGGCACTCACCAGCCCGAGAGGCTTGTCTGCTCCCCCGCCAGGGCGGGCGGGGCTGGGAGCTGAGGCTCGGGCTTCGGTTGGAGCGCAGGGAGAGGACTGGGGTTGGCGGCGTGAACTCAGCCTGAAGGGGTTAGTGCACCACGGCTGGCCGGGAGGGAGTCCGGGGAAAAGTCTGGACCTGCCGAAGAGGCAAGAGACTTTTTCTTCCCTCTTTGTTTCCTGGTGCGCGAGGAGAGGGGATTAAGAGCGCTGCTTAAAGGAGCTCCAGAGACGGGCGTGAGCCGCGGCTAACAGCCCGGACCCCAGAGACGGGCGGGAGACGCTAAGGCCGCTGCTGCCGCCACCAAGAAGCCTATGTGCGAGCACAGGTCACTATCCACAACCCCCTTCCGGGGAGCCTGTGCAGCCCGCCATTGCCAGGGTCCCGGGATCCAGGGACAACTTCCCCAGAAGAACGCACCGCGCACCTCAGGCTGGTGCAACGTCATGCCGGCCTCTGCTGCCGCAGGCCCGCCCCGCACTCCGTGCCCCTCCCTCCCCCCCGGCCTGAGTGAGCCAGAGCCCCCGAATCAGCGGCTCCTTTAACCCCGTCCTGTCTGAGCGAAGAATAGACGCCTTCCTGCGACCTACACGCAGAGGCGGGGCCGTATCCAAAGCTGAGCCCCTGGAGCTGTGAGAACAAAGAAGAGAAAGGGAAATCTCTCCCAGCAGCCTCAGGAGCAGCGGATTAAAGCTCCACAATCAACTTGATGTACCTGCATCTGTGGAATACATGAATAGACAACGAGTCATCCCAAATTGAGGAGGTGGACTTGAAGAGCAAGATTTATGATTTTTTCCCCTTTTCCGCTTTTTGTGAGTGTGTATGTGTATGCTTCTGTGTGAGATTTTGTCTGTATAGCTTTGCTTCCACCATTTGTCCTAGGGTTCTATCCGTTTCTTTTCTTAAAAAAATTTTTTTTTCTTAATATTTTTTATTTTAATAACTTTATTTTATTTTATCTTCTTTCTTTCTTTTTCTTTCTTTCTTTCCTCTTTCTTTCTACTTTGTCTCCCTTTTATTCTGAGCCGTGTGGATGAAAGGCTCTTGGTGCAGGAGTCAGTGCTGTGCCTCTGAGGTGGGAGAGCCAACTTCAGGACACTGGTCCACAAGAGACCTCCCAGCTCCACATAATATCAAACGGCGAAAATCTCCCAGAGATCTCCATCTCAACACCAGCACCCAGCTTCACTCAATGACCAGCAAGCTACACTGCTGGACACTCTATGCCAAACAACTAGCAAGACAGGAACACAACCCCACCCATTAGCAGAGAGGCTGCCTAAAATCATAATAAGTCCACAAACACCCCCAAAACACACCACCAGACGTGGACCTGCCCACCAGAAAGACAAGATCCAGCCTCATCCACCAAAACACAGGCACTAGTCCCCTCCACCAGGAAGCCTACACAACCCACTGAACCAACCTTAGCCACTGGGGACAGACACCAAAAACAACGGGAACTATGAACCTGCAGGCTGCAAAAAGGAGACCCCAAACCCAGTAAGATAAGCAAAATGAGAAGACAGAAAAACACACAGCAGATGAAGAAGCAAGATAAAAACCCACCAGACCTAACAAATGAAGAGGAAATAGGCAGTTTACCTGAAAAAGAATTCAGAATAATGATAGTAAAGATGATCCAAAATCTTGGAAATAGAATAGAGAAAATGCAAGAAACATTTAACAAGGACCTAGAAGAACTAAAGATGAAACAAACAATGAAGAACAACACAATAAATGAAATGAAAAATACTCTAGATGGGATCAATAGCAGAATAACTGAGGCAGAAGAACGGATAAGTGACCTGGAAGATAAAATAGTGGAAATAACTACTGCAGAGCAGAATAAAGAAAACAGAATGAAAAGAACTGAGGACAGTCTCAGAGACTTCTGGGACAACATTAAACACACCAACATTCGAATTATAGGGGGTCCAGAAGAAGGAGAGAAAAAGAAAGGGACTGAGAAAATATTTGAAGAGATTATAGTTGAAAACTTCCCTAATATGGGAAAGGAAATAGTTAATCAAGTCCAGGAAGCACAGAGAGTCCTATACAGGATAAATCCAAGGAGAAATACGCCAAGACACATATTAATCAAACTGTCAAAAGTTAAATACAAAGAAAACATATTAAAAGCAGCAAGGGAAAAACAACAAATAACACACAAGGGAATCCCCATAAGGTTAACAGCTGATCTCTCAGCAGAAACTCTGCAAGCCAGAAGGGAGTGGCAGGATATATTCAAAGTGATGAAGGAGAAAAACCTGCAACCAAGATTACTCTACCCAGCAAGAATCTCATTCAGATTTGATTAAAACCTTTACAGACAAGCAAAAGCTGAGAGAGTTCAGCACCACCAAACCAGCTTTACAACAAATGCTAAAGGAACTTCTCTAGGCAAGAAACACAAGAGAAGGAAAAGACCTACAATAACGAACCCCAAACAACTAAGAAAATGTGAATAGGAACATACATATCAATAATTACCTTAAATGTAAATGGACTAAATGCTCCCACCAAAAGACACAGATTGGCTGAATGGATACAGAAACAAGACCCATATATATACTGTCTACAAGAGACCTGCTTCAGACCTAGAGACACATACAGATTGAAAGTAAGGGGATGGAAAAAGATATTCCATGCAAATGGAAACCAAAAGAAAGCTGGCGTAGCAATTCTCATATCAGACAAAATAGACTTTAAAATAAAGACTATTACAAGAGACAAAGAAGGACACTACATAATGATCAAAGGATCGATCCAAGAAGAAGATATAACAATTGTAAATATTTATGCACCCAACATAGGAGCACCTCAATACATAAGGGAAATACTAACAGCCATAAAAGGGGATATCGACAGTAACACATTCATAGTAGGGGACTTTAACACTCCACTTTCACCAATGGACAGATCATCCAAAATGAAAATAAATAAGGAAACACAAACTTTAAATAATACATTAAACAAGATGGACTTAATTGATATTTATAGGACATTCCATCCAAAAACAACAGAATACACATTTTTCTCAAGTGCTCATGGAACATTCTCCAGGATAGATCATATCTTGGGTCACAAATCAAGCCTTGGTAAATTTAAGAAAATTGAAATTGTATCAAGTATCTTTTCTGACCACAATGCTATGAGACTAGATATCAATTACAGGAAAAGATCTGTAAAAAATACAAACACATGGAGGCTAAACAATACACTACATAATAACGAAGTGATCACTGAAGAAATCAAAGAGGAAATCAAAAAATACCTAGAAACAAATGACAATGGAGACACGACGACCCAAAACCTATGGGATGCAGCAAAAGCAGTTCTAAGAGGGAAGTTTATAGCAATACAATCCTACCTTAAGAAACAGGAAACATCTCGAACAAACAACCTAACCTTGCACCTAAAGCAATTAGAGAAAGAAAAACCCCAAAGTTAGCAGAAGGAAAGAAATCATAAAAATCAGGTCAGAAATAAATGAAAAAGAAATGAAGGAAACGATAGCAAAGATCAATAAAACTAAAAGCTGGTTCTTTGAGAAGATAAACACAATTGATAAACCATTAGCCAGACTCACCAAGAAAAAAAGGGAGAAGACTCAAATCAATAGAATTAGAAATGAAAAAGGAGAAGTAGCAACTGACACTGCAGAAATACAAAAGATCATGAGAGATTACTACAAGCAACTCTAGGCCAATAAAATGGACAACCTGGAAGAAATGGACAAATTCTTAGAAATGCACAACCTGCCAAGACTGAATCAGGAAGAAATAGAAAATATGAACAGACCAATCACAAGCACTGAAATTGAAACTGTGATTAAATATCTTCCAACAAAGAAAAGCCCAGGACCAGATGGCTTTACAGGCGAATTCTATCAAACATTTAGAGAAGAGCTAACACCTATCCTTCTCAAACTCTTCCAAAATATAGCAGAGGGAGGAACACTCCCAAATTCATTCTATGAGGCCACCCTTGATTCTAAAACCAGACAAGGATGTCACAAAGAAAGAAAACTATAGGCCAATATCACTGATGAACATAGATGCAAAAATCCTCAACAAAATACTAGCAAACAGCATCCAACAGCACATTAAAAGGATCATACACCATGATTAAGTTGGGTTTATTCCAGGAATGCAAGGATTCTTCAATATACACAAATCAATCAACGTGATACACCATATTAACAAATTGAAGGAGAAAAACCATATGATCATCTCAATAGATGCAGAGAAAGCTTTCGACAAAATTCAACGCCCATTTATAATAAAAACCCTGCAGAGGGGCTTCCCTGGTGGCGCAGTGGTTAAGAGTCCGCCTGCCGATGCAGTGGACACGGGTTTGTGCCCCGGTCCGGGAAGATACCACATGCCATGGAGCGGCTGGGCCCGTGAGCCCTGGCTGCTGAGCCTGTGCGTCCGGAGCCTGTGCTCCGCAACGGGGGAGGCCACAACAGTGAGAGGCATGCGTACCACAAAAACCCTGCAGAAAGTAGCCATAGAGGGAACTTTCCTCAACATAATAAAGGCCATATATGACAGACCCACAGCCAACATCGTCCTCAATGGTGAACAACTGAAAGCATTTCCACTAAGATCAGGAACAAGACAAGGTTGCCCACTCTCACCACTCTTATTCAACATAGTTTTGGAAGTTTTAGCCACAGCAATCACAGAAGAAAAGGAAATAAAAGGAATCCAAATCGGAAAAGTAGAAGTAAAGCTGTCACTGTTTGCAGATGACATGATACAATACATAGAGAATCCTAAAGATGCTACCAGAAAACTACTAGAGCTAATCAATGAATTTGGTAAAGTAGCAGGATACAAAATTAATGCACAGAAATCTCTGGCATGAATTTGGTAAAGTAGCAGGATACAAAATTAATGCACAGAAATCTCTGGCATTCCTATACACTAATGATGAAAAATCTGAAAGTGAAATCAAGAAAATACTCCCATTTACCATTGCAACAAAAAGAAAAAAATATCTAGGAATAAACCTACCAAAGGAGACAAAAGACCTGTATGTAGAAAATTATAAGACACTGATGAAAGAAATTAAAGATGATACAAATAGATGGAGAGATATACCATGTTCTTGGATTGGAAGAATCAACATTGTGAAAATGACTCTACTACCCAAAGCAATCTACAGATTCAATGCAATCCCTATCAAACTACCACTGGCATTTTTCACAGAACTAGAACAAAAAATTTCACAATTTGTATGGAAACACAAAAGACCCCGAATTGCCAAAGCAATCTTGAGAACGAAAAATGGAGCTGGAGGAATCAGGCTCCCTGACTTCAGACTATACTACAAAAATACAGTAATCAAGACAGTATGGTACTGGCACAAAAACAGAAAGATAGATCAATGGAACAGGATAGAAAGCCCAGAGATAAACTCATGCACATATGGTCACCTTATCTTTGATAAAGGAGGCAGGAATGTACAGTGGAGAAAGGACAGCCTCTTCAATAAGTGGTGCTGGGAAAACTGGACAGGTACATGTAAAAGTATGAGATTAGATCACTCCCTAACACCATACACAAAAATAAGCTCAAAATGGATTAAAGACCTAAATGTAAGGCCAGAAACTCTCAAACTCTTAGAGGAAAACATAGGTGGAACACTCTATGACATAAATCCCAGCAAAATCCTTTTTGACCCACCTCCTAGAGAAATGGAAATAAAAACAAAAATAAACAAGTGGGACCTAATGAAACTTCAAAGCTTTTGCACAGCAAAGGAAACCATAAACAAGACCAAAAGACAACCCTCAGAATGGGAGAAAATATTTGCAAATGAAGCAACCGACAAAGGATTAATCTCCAAAATTTATAAGCAGCTCAATAACAAAAAACCAAACAACCCAATCCAAAAATGGGCAGAAGACCTAAATAGACATTTCTCCAAAGAAGATATACAGAGTGCCAACAAACACATGAAAGAATGCTCAACATCATTAATCATTAGAGAAATGCAAATCAAAACTACAATGAGATATCATCTCACACTGGTCAGAATGGCCATCATCAAAAAAATCTAGAAACAATAAATGCTGGAGATGGTGTGGAGAAAAGGGAATACTCTTGCACTGCTGGTGGGAATGGGAATTGGTACAGCCACTATGGAGAACAGCATGGAGGTTCCTTAAAAAACTACCAATAGAACTACCATATGACCCAGCAATCCCACTACTGGGCATATACCCTGAGAAAACCATAATTCAAAAAGAGTCATGTACCAAAATGTTCATTGCAGCTCTATTTACAATAGCCCGGAGATGGAAACAACCTAAGTGTCCATCACTGGATGAATGGATAAAGAAGATGTGGCACATATATACAATGGAATATTACTCAACCATAAAAAGAAACGAAATTGAGCTATTTGTAATGAGGTAGATAGACCTAGAGTCTGTTATACAGAGTGAAGTAAGTCAGAAAGAGAAAGATAAATACTGTATCCTAACACATATATATGGAATTTAAGGGAAAAAAATGTCATGAAGAACCTAGGGGTAAGACAGGAATAAAGACACAAACCTACTAGAGAATGGACGTGAGGCTATGGGGAGGGGGAAGGGTAAGCTGTGACAAAGCGAGAGAGAGGCATGGACATATATACACTACCAAACGTAAGGTAGATAGCTAGTGGGAAGCAGCCGCATAGCACAGGGAGATCAGCTCGGTGCTTTGTGACCGCCTGGAGGGGTGGGATAGGGAGGGTGGGAGGGAGGGAGACGCAAGAGGGAAGAGATATGGGAACATATGTATATGTATAACTGATTCACTTTGTTATAAAGCAGAAACTAACACACCATTGTAAAGCAATTATACTCTAATAAAGATGTAAAAAAAAAAATAAAAAAAAATAAAATAAAGATCAGTGACATATGTCTTTGTATGCCCACATACCAAAGCAAGAAAAAATATATGTTTGTTTTAAACAGCATCAGATCTCAGCAAATTTTAAGCAAGACAACTTTTCAACCCCTGGAAATTGAGTTTAAAAATCAGTTTTCAGCTAACCTTTAGACACTGTCTCCTTCCACTACAAATTAACATTTGAGTCCATCTCCCATCCCTACTACTGGAAAGTGGCCAGATGCCAAAAGTATCAACTGGGACACTGCTTTGTGTATTTTAAACATTTTCCCAAATAGCTGACAAAGCGTTCTTTGACAAAATAAAGGTAAGTTACGCAAAAGCTAATTTTGACCAGGACAGTGACCTGGTATGATCCTGTTGACTTTTCCCTTCAACAGCATATAATCTCCGGTACAGGATCAGGACGCTTGTCCTTCAGAAGTGCTGCTGGGCCAAAAGAATGACGAGCTGCTGCGCCGCAGGCCTCTCGGCATCCTGCAGATGTGCTCAAACACTCCACCGCCGTGGGTGCCCAGCACCCAAGCAATCGTGCCCACCAGCGCCCTAGCACACCCCAGCAGGATTCCACTAGACAGCAGGGCCGGGCATCTGCCCACAAAGGGTGGCACTGCTTGGCCTCAGCCACAGAAGAGTCTTTCTGAGGATTAAGTTCATAAAGTGCTTAGAACGGCACCTGGCTCATAGAAACGTTGCCGAAGTGCGAACGTGCCATCGTTATCGTGCGATGGCCCCGCGCACACCCACCTGCATGCCGACGATGGCGTAGATGAAGAACAGCATGGCGATGAGCAGGCACACGTAGGGCAGCGCCTGTAGAGACATGGGAGGGCAGGTCAGCTCCAGGAGGGAGGACAGGTCAGCTCCAGGAGAGAGGCCTGCCCCCTGGCCTGAGCCTCATCGGCAGAGCGGATGGTGGCTGGGTCTCTGGGGCCACACTGGCCTCAGTTGACTGCAGACCCACCCCACTGACCACCAAGCTACTGTCAACTCCTTCATCTACAAATCAAGCCATAAAAGCCACCTCAGCCCTTGGTGAGCATAAACAAGATACTCTCCGTAAACCTGAAAGCGTCCTTACAAACCATCACGGGACAACGGGCACCACGGGAGGTGTGAAAGCGTCCTTTCAAACCATCACGGGACAACGGGGGCCACGGGAGGTGTGAAAGCGTCCTTACAAACCATCACGGGACAACGGGGGCCACGGGAGGTGTGAAAGCGTCCTTTCAAACCATCACGGGACAACGGGGGCCACGGGAGGTGTGGGCCCCGCCCCGGCCTTCCCGAGGAGGGCGCTCGGGCGGTGGCGGCAGAAGCCCCCCAGCCTGCACAAGGGAGGGGTCAGGCCGCGCCTGGCCACGCCCAGCCTCACCTTGAAGGACTGGACGAAGGTCCAGAGCAGGATGCGGATGGTGTAGCCTTGGCGGAGCAGCTTGATGAGTCGGGCGGCGCGGAAGAGGCGGAGGAAGCTGAGGTTGATGAAGTTGTTCTGCAGGGAAGAGAGGTTATGCTCTGACCTTCGGGGACCAGCCTCCCACAGGCGCAGGGCGGCCACGCCCCACCCCACCTCCCCAAGTCACTGTGCCCCAAAGAAAAGCGGGTGAAGAGAGAGAACGGAACAAAAAGTCACCGCTTCACAGTCTAAGCAGCAATCAGCCACCAGGAAACCTTCCAAGAGTGAAGCTTGTCTTTGCAAACCGCTTCCCATGCAGCAAATCAGAGAAACGCCCTCCACAGGGAGGGGCAGAGGAGAGTCCCATGAAGCACCCCCACCCCGCTGCCACGTGGAAGGGGAGGATGCCTGAAGCCAGGCCTCCAACACTGACGGCCTCTCACAGGGCACGGCCCAGCCGCCCAGGGACAGGGCTACCACACGGCCAGCAAAGCCCCGGCCTGCCTGGGGCCCAGCCGAGAGGCAGGCCCTTCCTCCGGGCCTGGGCAGGTGCCCGCACGCAGGTCACCGCAGGAGGCGTAGGTGGTGTTGGTCCTGCTGCCCACGCCAGGGAAGACACCTCTGCAGCCCACTATCCGGTGTCTGCCCCAGAGAGCCCAGGCCATCTCGCACGGCCCCCTCATCCAAAGGGTCGAAGTCAGGCACAAACGAACCCAACCGTCTCTGGACTGCACGGATGACCCGGGAGCGAGGCTTCCACCTTGGCCCAGGGGCGCCTGAATTCCTGGCCATCCCTTTCGGGGGCACGGCCCTGCTCGGCGTCCGTGAGTAGGCAGGGGTGCTCGCGGGCCCGGGCGGCTTCCTGCCCTGTCTGCTTGGAGACCAGGTGCCCACGCGCAGCCTGAGGTCAGCGTCCCCACACTTGGCTGCCTTGAAATATGCAAGCAGCTCAGGCTAGACACATTGTGCTGCCAGATACAGTGGTCAAACACAGAGAAAAGAGAGCACAGGTGCAGCGGCAGAGCCCACGCAGGAGGCGGCGGGGCCTGGGCAGAGCCGCGCCCTCCCTCCAGGGCTGCCCATCTGGTCTTGGCTGGGACGAGGCATTGGTGGAGAGACGGGCCTCACTCCGCCCCCCCACTGCCTGTCTCAGGGGCTGGCTTCTTTGCTTCCCACCAGGGACTCTGGACTGTCTCTGCTGGCGAGGGGCTTAACAGCTACCCTGGGGGACGGCTCCCGGGTTTTGGACAGTGCCACAGGGAGAGGGGGCAGTTGGCAGGCACGAGGAGGGCCGGCTGTGGCCCAGATCAGCACGCAGGCAGAAGTGGACCTTGGGGTGTGACCCTGGAGGGTGTACTCGTTTCCCTGCAGCTCCCTCACCGGCTCGCGCTGGGGCAAGAGGACCTCAGGGTGGATGAGACATAGCCACACTCTCTGAGCCCCGTGGGCCTGAGGACTCTCATGTGAGCCAGTCGCCTCAGGAGGACGGGCACAGGGATGCAAGGGGGGACTGCCTACGGTGCCAGGGTACCCTTTGTACAAGACAGTAAAGCACAGAAAGGGGGGAGCTGCCACCTCAGGGGTGTCTGCTTTCAAACCACCTGCGCAGGTGGGTCTGGAGGGGCCGAGACCAAAGCAATTTGCTCAGACGGTTGGGACAGACAAGATTTCCTGAAAATACTGGGGGGAAATATAAGCTTCTGGGTAAGAAGGAAGAGACGGAGGCCACAGCGGGCAGCGGAAGGCGCTGTTCGTTCCAGTTACTGGATGCGTGAACGCAGCCCCTTCCTACTTTCTGTTGAGACCCAGGTCCCAACCCTCCTCCCCAGCTTCTCTCTCGGGGCTCCACGGGCACGTAGGAGAAGGTGCACGTGCCAACAGACAGCCAGCCCTAGAGAGCCGTGAGGGCGGAGGTGACAGCGGCCCCAGATGCCGCAACCACAGTGTGACAGGCTGAGTGCACCATGGCTGCACCCGTGCGCGAGGCGCCAGACACCACCATGCAGACTGCATGCAGGACAGCAGGGGCAGCAAGCACACAGCGGCCTCCCCCTGGCTGCGCACCGTCACCCCTGGCCTCAGCCAACCCCCTGGAGGTGGATGCAGCATGCCCCGACCCCCCAAGTCCATGGTTTCTGCTGTACCCACGAGCAACCCCACCTACTTCCAAGCCAGGCCCCTCCTTATGGCCCCTGCCTCTGAGCCAGGAAAGGTCAGCTTTACAGCCCTCAACACGGAGCTGATTTACGCTGAGGGGACACTGGTCCCCAGCTCCACTGAGCGCCAGCTTCCACCTCTACACGATGGAGGTGTTAGGACATCATGCCCGGGGGCGAGGAATCCCTGAGAAAAGGAACTTACGGTGCATTGAGCACTGAAACGCCGCCACAGAGGCAAACGGAGCCCAGGCCGAGGCCCACGTCTCCTACATCCAAGCGCATCACTGCCTCTGGTCAGAGTCACAGCACAATGAGGTGCCCCCCCTCACACTGTGCACGTGTCGGGGACCACACACGTGCCAGGGATGAGGTGCAGCAGAGCGTGGGACAAGCTGCTCTCCTACTCAGCTTCGTTCTCAAGGGGACCGATGATGGGAGAGAGAGAGAAAGGAGAGAAAGCCTGTGGAGAAAGCCCACACACGCACAGTACCCTGGACATTGATTGACATGAAGGCAGAGGAGGGCACAGAGCGGGTGGACAGGAAGGGCTGAGCAGAGGCCTGGTGCCACGAGCAGAGCCTGTGCGAAAGATGTGGCCTGGTATTTCGGCAGCATCAAACAGCCTTTTCTCAAAACTCAAGCTTTTCTGCTCCGATTGTGAAACCTTTATCACAAGCATTCACTTTCTGTAGCAGGAATCTCAGAATCTGCTCCTTTGCACGAACTTGCAGGCATGGCCTCAGCTCACTCTGCTCCCAGCATCTTCTCTCTCCCCTCACCCGGAAGGAGGCTCCGTCCACACCTCCTGCACGGGCTCCACACAAGCTCGCTGACCAGGGCACACAAGAATCAGCGACGCTGGATGAGGGCCCAGCCCTCTGCTCCCTCCTGGGGCAGTGCCCCTCTTTCTACTCAGGCCAACCCCCCAGCCTGGTGCCCCCAGCCAGGCCCCCACGGAAGATACGCCCAGGAAGGACCCTACAGGAGACCTTGTCAGAGGCCACTGGGCAGAGCCGAGTCCGCTCGGTCTGCCAGTGGAGACAGAGCAGAAGGGACATGACTGTGCAGCAGAAACCATGGACTTTTCGGGGATCAGGTCCAAACTCACATCCTGCAAAACCTCCCCAATTCTGAGCCAGTCTCATCACTTACCTGCCTCTCACTCAGAAGCCCCTACCTCCTCTCTCAGCCCAAGGCCAGTTCCTGTGATCAGGTGGTCCCTGGGGGGCCCTCATAAGCCCCGGCTGGACCCCAGGAGCCAGGACAGTGCGTGAGAGGCCAGAGGGGCGGGTGCAGCTGGGCTCTGAGCACAGGAGGGCAGCGGCGAGGGGTGACAGGAAGCAGAAGGGAGGAGGACCGGAGCAAGCAAAGCGAGGAGTTTTAAGAACTATTTAAAGTCATGAAACCAACCGTTTCCTATATGTGATGTTTTCATGGATGGATATTTGCGTATTATTTACAAATTGGGATGTTTGAGCGGCAGGCGCACAACATACAGACGGAGACATGGTTTTCGCATTGTATGTTGGTTGGGTGACGTGAGTCAGCGGGTAGGTGAGGGTAAATCAAGAACAGAAACAAAACAAAAGAGAAACTGAGTCACCAACACAAGCAAAACTCAAACTCTGAACACTTCACTGGAAACTTTTAGGATTTGGGTAAACTTTGCATATTTTGCTTAAAATGTACCGAATCAAAACACACGTTTGAAATCTGCAGGTTGCGCAGACGGGGCATCATTTGCATCTGTTTGTAATGCAAATCCAAAGATGACTCACAGACACTCGCTTCCCTATTTCCAGGCAAAGAAATCAATGTCAGTTTCACGCTCGCTTAGAGTGCGTTCTCCACGTAACCCTGGTTAAGACTGTTGCTCTATGGTGATTTTTAAGTCGGGGGTGGGAACTGACACTCACACTTTTGCCTAAGGAAAAAAAAGTGCATCCACAAAGTAACACATGAAGTGACTACAATGGAGAAAGGAAAAAAGACACCGAAATCCACAAGACGGCTTCCTTTCACCTTTCCTCCTCCAGGCAGGACAGGGTGAAGACCGCCCTCTGAAACCACTAGTGGCCAGGGCAGCTGAGCTTTCGGACCAAGCAGCTTCTCAGCCCTCCTGCCAGCCCTGCTGGGCGTCCAGGATTGGTGGTGGCTACCCTGGAGGTCTTGCTGGGATTAAGTTCTCGAACATCTGCAAGCCGCCCTCCCTTGAGTTTCCAGCAGCTGAGGCGCCTCTCTGTGGGGAGGTGCCCCTGGGAGACAGCGCCTCTGCGACATCAGCCGGGCACCCCTGCCTGCCCCACCTGTGGATGCCCTCCCAGCCGTCACCCCTCTGCCGAGGGGGCACACACACGCCCAAACCCCCAGGGCTGTGTCCTTGCAGTTGGGAGCCCAGTGTCAGGATGCCTTTGTCTGGGGCATAAAGACTCCTGTGCCCAAGGAGGCGGAGCGCCTAGGCAGAAACCACGCTGGGGAACTACTTCTGGGTGAGAAGAGGTGCACAGCGAAGGGGCAGCGCCCGGGCAATGCTGCAAGGCCAGCAGCCGGGGGAACAAATCACCGTGTTTTGTTGTTAAGATGGCAGCTTTCAGCTTTTTGCCTGGATTATTCAGATCACTGACTTTTCAAAACCATGAAACAACTCACATAAACAAAGGAATACGTGCAAGTCTATGTACACACGTATTTTAAATAAAGGTGATACAAGATCCATATATTCGTCATCCAGCCTAAAACACGGAACGTCGCCGTTACTTTGGAAGCCCTGCGTGCCTCTCTTCCCCAGATGTAGTGACTATCCTTAATCCTTGTTAATAATTGCTTTTCTGCACTGTTTTACCTCTAACTCTTAAAACACGTTTATACTTGCCTGTTCTTAACTCTGTGACGGGATTAGACTACACGTGGCCCTCTTGGGCTCAGGCAAACCTGTGC